GTTATATCTATAGATAGGACCTTGAGATTTATAAAACCACAAACAAATTAATAAAAAAGTTGTTGTTTACGATTTGGAGGCCAAATATTAATATATTATCACTTAAATTTTGAAAACTAGAAACCCATATTTCAGAATCATCCTATTTCTTTAGTTAGGAAATTAATCATTGTTTATTTTGATATCCTTGGCATTAAAACTAGAGATACCAAATAACTTGCCCATTTACATGTTCTGGTAGTCCGGTCTATGGAAACATACAGATCGAAAACTTCGAACTTTACGGTAATAACAAAAAAAAAAAGACAACAAGGGATGAATGGTGATACGTTTTATTTTCATTCTGTTGATTATTTTGTTATTGTTGACATCACAAAATATTTAATTGGCAATTAGGTTGAATAACCAAAAAAAAAAGAACTAACATATTTATGCTACATAGGCTAATTTTAGTTAGATTATTAATTATTAAAAAAATTGGGTTAACTGGTAAATTAACCCATGTTTTATTGTTTTAAAACTAAATAATGGTTTTGATTTGATTAGAAAATTTTATTCAATATTACACAATAATGGACTTAGATAAAGAAATCTTCGATACTAACATTTCATAAAATTATGTTTGGTTTATCCTTTTATCTAAACTTTAAGGTTCAAATATCAGAATCTTTTAGATATTTTCTAAAATGAGTAGGTTTTCACTTTTCACCATATTTATTTCATTTTTTATCAGTTTCATTTATCAATTATGGTAAAGGTTTAAAATAAAGAAATGGATCATGCGAAAATCTCATTTTCCAAAATTATCTTTTTTTTTATAAAGATTTTCCAAAGTTATCTTTAATTCAAAGTTTTTAATTTCTCTTCGTTATTGTTGCCAGTTGTCACAAATGGATCATCACACCAAAGGAAAACGTGGTCTTATATATATAGCTTGGTGCTTTTAGTTTTTCAAGAATTCAACCCACGATATAATCTTTTTATTTAAGATATCATGGAAAAAAAAGCCTTTCGCAGAAAGCTTATCCCTATAAAGTGACTTTTTAAACAATAGCTTTCTATGCATAAAAACTTTATTTTGTTACCTTTGAGCTTTCTTATATGTAAAGACTAAAGACATAGGACTGAGTAGACCAGACTGGGTTAAAGTTTGGACCTTCTCTTCCTTTTTTTGGGCTACTGGTTCTAGATTTTTGATTTCGTTTCGGTTTAACTATGGTTCGGTACGCTCTATTCTGACTTTGATCTTATGTGTAATATTATTTCGTTAATAATATTTTCATTTAAAAATAAAAGTAGATCAGACTGTTCCAAGTAAATATGGTTCCATCTATATAAAATACAAAAAATTCAATTTATTTTCTTTGGTTCACAAAGAGCAATTCTAATAGAATTCTAAGAGCAACTCCAACCATAACACTAAATTTAGTGTTGAAATAATACCAAATTTAGTGTTATAGTGTATTTCATCTCCAACCACAACACCAA